GAAGGGGACGAGATTCGCTTACCGCTTCACGGAAAGACGCCTTCGGATCTTAGGCCTAACATCGAAGACGTCAGCGGTCGGCCGATCGCACGAGGCCTTGAGGCCAACCGTCCGCGCCGCGCTGACCACGCCTGGTTCTATGAGAGGTGCCGTCGAATTGAGAGCCAGAGTCGCTAAACATCTGTCCCATAAAACGTAGAACGAGCCGTCGACTCGCTGCGTCTCCGCGACGATGGAAGCCGCGGCAGCGGAACCTGCGGAACCGGAACAACCGGAAGCTCTCGCCGACGCGACGCCGGAGGCGAAGAAGTCACAATAAAGCGCCGAGTTGGCCGAGTTGGCCGAGTGCGAGCAACGGCCCGTTCGCCCATGTGGACCGGTGATGCGGTATCCTCGGCTTGGTGTCGCGATCGGTTTGTTGACGTGCACGTTTGCTTTGCTATGCGGTACGGTTGGTTCGGCTGTCGAATACTTGTGGTGCACATCATTCGAGACAGTCGCTCCAAAACGTCGCCCTGAAGGGGTGACCGAGGAACTTGTGTCAGCTGAACGAACCGTCTATGTTGCGTTTCGACATGTATGGCATATATGTAACGATATCGGTAGTAAATGGACGTTCTGTTGGAAGATGTCGGTCGCCTTTCTGCATGTGTGATTTGGTAAAATGTGCGCTGATAAAATGACGCTGCTGATCATTATGCAATCAAATGCTTCCAGATGTATTTCAAAATATTAGCAAAATAGCATACAGAGAAATCCGTCCCACGAAGAAAGCAAGACGCTGACCTCCACCCGCGGCCTTCCTGGCACACGACTCCGTGTTTTGCTAATCCTAGCTGTGCTTCTTAGATAATGGAGCCGAATGACTTCGTTATGGTGCTTCCTCAACTAACCGCAAGACTGATTTTAAATGCAATAACATTTCTCAGCCATACCTCCGCACTTCCGTGTCCGTCCTTTGGTGTGTAAGTAACAAAGTCACTATTGTCTGCCGTAGAAAAACCATATGAGCCGGAGCGCCTCTACTCCGCAGTCGTCATGGAAAACAAAGTGAAAGGTGGCTTGGATATGTCAGAAGACTTTTAAAGCCTTTTTTTTTTACATTTATACTAAGGATAAGGTTAACATGAATCCAGTGCCTAAATTTGTATATACTAAGATGACAATTGCCCTTTGAAAGCATGAAAGGCTTACGGCAGATTCCCCAATCCCAAAATATTGTTCGTCCACTCGTCTGTATATTTCCCGCTAGATGTAGCGGTGAAACGGAATTGGTGCATACCTCACGTGGCGTCAATTCGCGTGAGCTATGCACTAATTCTATATCTGATAGACATATATATCGCGTGACCTGAAGTCAGGAGGTCTATTAACCAATTAAGTTTCCCACTAAATCTAGCGGGAAAGTTGATGTCACGGGACCTGCCTTCACTTGACCTATACACGAATTACATTTCCACGCTCAATAATGAGGGAATTTAATAAAACTAAGGGAACTTCAATCCTTGAAACTGCCCTATAATGTCTTCCGAATAATTTAAAAAAAACGATGCACCTTAAATACTTTATTTCATGGATTATATGATGTTCAAATAAAGGTCACTGCCAATTCGTCACTAAGACTGGTCACCACTTTATCGGTTGCGGAAATGACCCCATTAACAGTGTTTCAAAGGTTATCTTTAGAAAACGCGCTAAAGATGAATATAAGTAAGACTAAGAAAAAAATCTGAAGACCCAAACATGCAGAAACGACATGCAACGATGAGTCTTATCTTAGACATCAATATATCCTCGATAAGTCTAAGAGCTCATGTGTTCTTTTTAATTATCATTCGCCTCTAAAAATTATGAAGACTACCTATATTAGGTTGGCGAGTTGTTCTAGTTGGTTTTGATACATGGCGGCAAACAGGCAAAAATAAAAAGAAAAAAAAAATAGGACAATAGGACAGAGAGGAGAGGAACACAGGAGAGGGCGTACGCCCTGACCTGTCTTCCTTTCTTTTCTGTCCTCGTTTTTATAGCAAATGTTCCACCATGTATCAGAGTATCTACACAATATGTTGTCTACAGTAATTGCACTAGCCTTTTGCACATTTTATATTGATGATTATTGCAAACTACTTTGATGTCAGACATTTCTTACCTAATCTGATATGGGATACAACAACTCGTAAAAATATACAGAAATATATGATTTAAAACAAAGTGTGCGTACCTCATCTTAAATTCTTCCTACAATTCGAGCACCCAAGGTTTGTTTTGATGATATGATATCTTGAAAAGAGTGGTTGCCATTGAAAACTGAAAACAACTGCAAATGAAATACAATGAAAAAAAATTTCCAATTGAACATACAACTTTCTTCGTCGTGTACTTTCATTTCAGACGTATGAGACGAGATCTGTCTATTCGTGGTTTTTAAATATGCTTTAACTAAGAAAAGATTCAGTGCACCTTATCCGGTCGCAAGGCGATACTGATCATATCACTGTTCTAGTTATTCCGCTCATTTTAAAATCTTGGCACACACTCAGCTCGCCGGTTCGGATTGTGACTTAAAGGTTAATTTCTCTCTTGGCTGGCGAAGAACAAATGACATCCTAGAGCCAGGCGAGAGGAACGCTTCTTAGCTCGGCATTATTCTCATGCGGAATTTCATACTCAAAGAATACACCGCACTGGAGAGGGGTTTTGCGACGGTCGTACTTCTAGTGGAGAATGCAAGACCAGAGACAGATTACGTGTACGGTACAAAATAAAGCACATGCCCTAACTATAATAAATATATGTAGTAGCAAATATTAGAAAATTTCTCATTTGACGGCTACGCTTTTTCATAGACTTAGAGTCCGCCTGAGAGCAGAGTAGGTGCAGAAAAATATTTTTAGCGGTTCTCAAATATTTTACATTTTATTTTGTAACACTCCAATTTGCATACTTCATATTGAAATAATTGTACATAAAGTATTTTCCTTGGTGCGCTCAGTAAATATAACGCCAGGTAAAACGTATGGAGAGAAAACATACCAGAGCAGTTCTAATAAGTATTCAAGGCCTCCTAATAAATGCATTTATTTCTCAAAAATTCTTGTGGACAACAATTAGGCATATCATAATCTAAACATTGGGATAAGGAGAGTATAATGTTTCCTAACCAGCTTGTATGCATACTTTCGCTCCTTGTAATACGATGTACTTATCCAGTGAACCAAGTGCAGTACCAGATTAGTGTATAGCTGCGCTACTAAACTAAACAAAATGTATCGCGAAGGGCCCTGCAGTTGCGTTGCTACGTGAAACCTTCTTCGTTTAGAGCAAGCAACATCCAGGCATTTCTTTCCAAACTGTGCCTCTAGGTTTTTCCAGAGCCGTATATTGGGAGAGTTTGGCCAATAGGCGGAGCAAAGGCCGCAGCGCCGAATATTGCCCCCGCGGTTAGAGCGTAAACTAAATATGTGACAACGCGTCGACCAATCAGCCAACCACGACGTCACAATATTCGAAATGACATTTAAAGCGTGAAATAGAAGCGTTCAATCTCGCAGCAGCACGACGACGACGACGTTTAGAGGATGCCACACCGGGCGTCGGCGGTGCCTCCATCTAAGCCCTGGGCCACGGTACCTCGGAGGCGGCAGCTTTCTGCCTTGACTGGGTTACCTCTTTGGAGCCTGATGCTTCGACCCCAGTGAGCGACAGCACCATCATGCTCCTGGGGCTCCTTTGTGCGACCGTGCACCGGTCGAACGGCACGCTGCAGATCCCCTTGGCCCGCCGCTGACACGCCTCAACAAAATGTGGAAATCTTCAAATTAGACTGACATCTTCCGCAGTAGCAACAATCCATCTCGTCGTCATCTTGCATGCATATACTCATCGCATTATTATGGTCCTTAGACGCGGCACCGCGGGCCTTCATGGTACAGGCCTTTCCGCAGTGCCGCCGCTCTCCAGAGCCAAATAAAGATATTAATATTAGTAGTAGTAGTAGTAGTATTAAAACAATGCAAAGGGTGAGGCGCGCGAGTGTCTTGAGACGCGGTTTGCTCGGCTCGGGTTTAGACGGTCCCGCACGGCTCGTGCGCTCGCTTTGTCGGTGCTTTCCTTCCCCCAGTCTCAACTGAGACGCTGTTTCTAGCAAGTCGGCCCTGGTTTGGAACGCACGTTCGTTTATTCTAGCCTTGAACATGGGCGTAACGAAAACCTCACATCCGCCAAGTTTTCAGTCACAGAGAGTTATACCTTTTCACTCTAGCGACGCGAAAACGGCTTAAATTAGTTGTGTCACATATTTAGAGCTCATGACCACCGCTAGGGGCTGTTTCGAGGCCCGTGGTTGGCCCCGAGAGGCGCGCCTATTCAAACCAATGTATGGCCGAACTCTCCCAATAAACGGCTCTGGGTTTGCCCACTCCTCTCCATCCTCTTGATTCATTGACCTATTGACTTTCCAGGTTGGGTCGGCCTTGTCCCATAGTGTGGGCAATGACGGATAGCGGGTAAACTAAATTTATATTGGGGTCACGTGACATCATTTTACGGGACGCCAATTCTCCGCACAATTTTGCGGCAAAGCTGAATTTCTGCATAAGTCACACGACATGGTTATGTGACATTATTTTCCCGCTTAATTTAGTGGGAAAACTTAATTTCTTTTGAAGTGCGTGACGGCAATTTGCCTACAATATCTAGCGGGGAAACTGAATTTCAATATAGGTCGCGCAACTGACGATAATGTTTCCTCTAAATATAGCGGGAAAACGTTTTTTATAGGTCATGTGACATAAAGCCATGTTACGCCATTTTCACTAGTAGAGTTAGCGAGGAAATTTGATATTACGTTTTTTGACGCTTCAGTTGAAGTGAAAACCCAGGCTATAAACATTGCGCGTCAAAAGTAGCTGCAGTCACCTCAAAACAAAACAGCATGAAGATACGTGACTTTGGCTGCAGTTCTCCAAGAGAAAATATTTTTTGTCCGCATGTCGACGCAGGGACCTTTCCAAACTGAGCTACTTCCACGTGCCCGGGAAGGAGCCGCTTCTGACCTGGACTGTGGGAGACGTGATTGACAGAGCGACCGACTTATTCGGGGACACCACAGCGGCGGTTTACACTCACCAGAACATCAGCAAGACATACACGGAATACAAGAAAGACGTACGTATAGACTCAGATGATCTACTCAGCGCGAGACCCACTTTTGTCATTTAAACATTCAGTACGCAACGCTTGTCAGGGAAACGATTGATTCGCAATGTTGTCGCTAACGATAAAAACATCAACGCAATATTGCAGTTAACGATAAAAACATCAACGTAATATTGCAAATGAGACGTCAGTGTCACCTTATTTTCATGTTGACATGTGACGCCAAAATGTTGCACGCAATCGTGGTGTCAGATGACGTCGCAGCGTCACGTGCTGTGAAGTCATAATTGTTTTTTTTTATTTAAGGAAGAATAGTTCGTGTAATTTCTTTAGAAAGAGCCATACGGCTCAAGACAACACTTAAAATAAAGCATGGGAATCTCAGCGTGTCCACTTGCACCGAGAAATTACTCCAGACACCATGACTCGTGCCTACGTAAAGAGGATGGCAAGAATATAAAAGCTATGCCCCTCTTCGCCTTCTTGAAATGGGCCAAATCATGCCTTAGCACACCGCTCTCTGTACAAAGAGCGTCATTACAACCCATATGAGGGCACGGTAGTCAAAAACCTAAATGCAAAAAAGAAAGACGCATTACTCCTTCTTTCGTATAATCATACCGAATTCCGAAGCTCGAGAAGCACTTCCGTCACGTCAAACTGAACTGAAAAATGTCTGCGCGCTAGTTCACTGGAGATTGGTTAGTATAGCTTTTAGGAATATAAATCTTTAATAATTTTTGTTATATTAACAGTCGCATTCCATTTATTTCACGGCCTTTCAGAAGTCAAAGTCAGATTGTAGTCGGCACTTTGTGCGTTTATTTTGAAGCTCGTTCGTCTGTTTTGTGGTGTTGAGTTTTGTATTGTAAAGTATTCCAAAAAACTAAACCTCATATTTCAAGATAATGTAAAGTTTCCTAAGTAATAAAATATGTGCAGGATATGTATGATTCCGTTGGCTTCCTTCCATTCATTCATTTGTTTATTTTTGTGCTCATGAACAGCATGAAGCCTTGATAATGATGCACAATTAACATACAGCAAAAAGAATAATTCTACAAATTGACAATAGAAAACTTGAACGCTACAAAAGATGGTTATAGATTTGTAAGAGAAAACTTGAACGCTGCAAAAGACGGGTTAAAAATGTCAATGCAAGATTCATTGAAAGTATTATACAAGGTCTGAATACGTGTCATGGGGCCGGTTCGGAAGAATTCATTAACGTAAAATGGAAGAGAAATTCGCAAAAATCTTCTCGGGACATGAATATTTATCGATGAAGTTAGGTCAGGGCAATCAATGACTCCGTGAAGGCATTTGAACAAAAATATAAGATCTCTGTCGCGTCGTCTGGCATTCAAAGTAGAACAATTGAATCGCTCTAAAAGTCTTCTATATTCAAAGTAAACAGTGCAATCGACATAGCGGTGGGGAAAAAGAAAAAAAAATGTTTTTGGACATTTTCAATCGACTCTTGGTGCGTACGCCCAATAGCATTCCACGCAACTGAGGAAAACTTCTGTACACAATGACCACACCTTGAATTTTTCCTGATAGTACCTAACGGTTCTTTGAAATTCAATCTATGAATTAATCATTGTTTATTCTCCGCGTCGAAGCCAACGGTGCCCTATACCAAATGGTCCTATAGGCCGCTTGACGTTTGAAGTTCATCAGCAGGACTAGTTTTCAATATAAGAAAAAATACGCACTAATAAAATAAGCCATATTACCAAAATACCATAATCCTCAAAAAAGAAATACAATAGAAAGGTCATTATCTCTGTCAATATTGAATATATTATTATATCTAAGGATCACCCGTTTTGCGCAATTCAGCGTTTGGGGAGTGTGTTGATATTATGCTACTTAGATCTATTTGGTATAATTTGCTATTGTCTTATTGTTTGGTATGCTTAGATGTATTAAGTGAGTGTTCTTATACACAAGCACGAAAGTTTTTTTGAGAGACAGAAACTAATTTAGGCAGTTGAAGGAAGATACATAGTCCACACTCTAAAAAAACCCGTGCGTCTGCTTTCTCGCACAACACTCGGAGAGCCAATCACTGCAACTTACCGAGGCAGATCAGCGAATGACGATGCCGAAACATATGTTTAGACCAAAAACCGCGGTCTGAGTTGTGACATTAAGCAATGCAGGCGTGACGTTTTGCATTGCTTAATGTCACAACTCAGGCTGCGTTTTTTGGTCTAAACATATGTTTCGGCATCGTCATTCGCTGATCTGCCTCCGTAAGTTGCGGTGATTGGCTCTCCGAGTGTTGTGCGGGAAAGCAGACGCACGGGCATTTTTTAGAGTATAGTACTACTACAATTATTGCGTACAGGAGTGTACCAATAAAGCCAATACAGTTTAGGTGCGCACAGTACCTTGTCAGGCGATAGCGTTGGTTAATAAATAATGCTGCAAATACAGTCGCGTTCAAAGAAGCCGACAAAATGTTTCGATTTCTGAAAACACTGACAAGGACTCAGGTGTGTTGATAGTGCAAATGCTGTCTTCACGATACCCGCGACTCACAGCAGCTAAAATAAAGAGGCGTTTATTGTTTGAACCTAGCAAATCCCAATTATGTCCATAGCACATATTTCAGGGACTTAGTCACACAAAATATTTGATGACTGAAGCTGCCCTGTCTCTAAAAATATGAGGGGGCAATTGGCCTGAACACGTTCGGTTGGGAAGCGATTTGTATTGGTTAATGACCCCTAGACAGGTAATCATCTCATTTTCATGTCTTCGAGTCAACAATTCGTTCTTAGTGTTTAAATGCTTTTTAGGGCAGCCGACCCACATATTTGTTTAAATAATCGGTAACGTTGAACATAGAATTTACTAAAACACAGGACTAACCAAAACGAGCTTTACATGCCTTGTAAAAAAAGTGCTTCTACATTGGGTACTGCTCCTTACTCCGAAAATTTAATAAATAGGCAGCGGTTTGCGTTTACGTGGCATAAGCATCAAAGAAAATTTGAAATCAAAGCTGATTTATATGGGTGACTGTTTTTGAAGGACACGGCAAAGTTGAGAATTTCATACCCTATGAGTATGTTTCGTTCAAAGTAAACTGCGTTGAATTGTCCGGAACTGGAATACTGGAAGTCATTTCACCCTTTACAGATTAAGAAATGACAGGGCTCTCGGTCAAACACAATGAGGATATGTGCAGATATAGCCATGGTCACACTCACAGGAGCAACAGGGATCACGTAGCTTGCTCTAGAAGTGCATTTTGTTCCTAAACTGAAAAGGGTTTGGGGCCAATAATTTATCATAATTAAGAATATTTAGTGAATAAAGCTACTGATTATAAGAGTTCCGCTTTTAGAATATTGCATAAAGAACGTATCAGAATAAAACAGACGCCCTTAAACTTGAAAGCAGAATAAAATTGCAAAAAGTCTCGTGTCACCGTTACTAAAAAGACGCTGAAATTGATAAAAAAAAAAACAATTGTTGTCCTACAGATGAGATTGATATAATAAGAATGCGATTCCGCGACATTTTTTGTGGGTTGAGGTAGAGATTGCATTTACTTCGTTTCTTTTGACCGTCAGTAATACTGATGGAAACTGAGAGTGAGAATGATATGATAGCGCGTAAGGTCATCCGATCATCGGGATTCGGTTGAAATGCTTAGTGGGCAGACGTAAAGCATTCTGCCTTTGTCTCCACTTACTTTTCGAACACAAACACGTTCGTCAAAGATCTGTGTTCTGACTCCGCCGCGCGCTCTCATTTTCTCCTCTCCTTCGTTTTTGTTTGTATAGCGAGTTATTTTTTTTTCGTAACATCAAATTACGTGATGTGGTGACATAACATGGTCACGAAGGTTACCTGCATGGTTCCCGCCCTTGGCCTAGACAGTTATTTCGTCTTTGCAAGTTCCCCCATCACTGCAGTGATAGTGTAGTTTCACAATCTTAGGCGTCCAGGGTTCGATCCAGACTTGTGCCCGTTACTTGAATAACGTAATGGATAACAATTACAAATTAGCGAGAATAAAATAAAATGTATTGCTGTTACAAAATACTTTCTTTAAAAAGTAACAGATGACTTTACTTGTTACGTTACACGTTACTTTCACATTATTTTTCCCGCAAAAAAAGCAAAAGGACATTTTTTTATGTTTTCTAAAATGATCCCCAACACTACTTTTCATTTCTCACACGGCCGCATTCCGGTTGTCTCTGTAAAAATAAAATATTGTATCTAAGACAGAGAATGTAGGTGCACTCCGTTCACATGTAAGGTGACAAGGAAGCAAAAGTTGCAACCACAAGCGACAACCCCCTAGCGATGCGCAAGTCTGGAATTCTGCAGATAAAGTTATCGGTGTCCATGGTTAGTATCAGCGTCTACCTCCGCTAGGAGATTGAAGCTAAGAAACCGATCTACGAAAGCTCCCTTTTGAAACGGGATTTTTAAGTGGTGTAAGAGTGAAAGACAGATTAACACGATGAGCTTGGTCCTGTCTAAGTGAAGAAAAACACGATGGAAGCCTACAGGAAGAAGCAGAGTCTACTCGGTGTCGTCTATTTGGCACATTTCAAGGCATTTGTGTTGCATACGTGAGTTGTTCTAGAATCACAAACTTTTAGCTTTACTCTGAGTTTCCAGACTCCAGCCGCTTATGTTCATGGCGCTCTTCATCAGCTAATTCAACACGTACAATGGAACACTTCATAGTTGCTGGAATGAAGCGATAATACCGCTCATCGCTCCGGCTGTTAAACCTGATGACCTTCCAAGGTCCTGCATACCCTCGAGCTCTTCTCCCTCAGTGCGCACAAGTTGTCGAGCTCCTCCTCGCCTAGCTTCCACTTCCTCGCCCACCCCTCTAGTAACGTGACCTCCATGTTAACCAATCAACATCGAGCACCTCACTCCTCCTCTCCCAGCTGTCAAACAATCAGTATCGAGCCTCGCGGTCTCACTTTTATCCAGGCCTCACTTTTTGGGTTTCGAGAAATGCC